GTACCTAAGTTTAAATATCATCGATCTCAACGTTGTTTTGGCTGAAGAAAAGAGGCAAACCAACAACAGGCAAAATTGCAGTTAACGTTATTTGGGATTCGATCTACATGTTTCCGCTTCATATTCTTTCCTCTGAATTTGCCATTCAGAGCGCGATTTCATATCTAACTGAGAACGCACATAGTTGAATGTGGACGTAAACACAAGTTTTTAAGTTAGTACAAGTAACAACAAGTAAACACGCATTAGTTCGACTGAGGATCCGCCAAATCATTCCCTATATTGACCTCTCGAACGGTTTTAACTCATAAAAAATTTATCAATGATTTAAAACATGCCTTAACTGCGAACACCTAGAAAGGCCTCCTAATTGACTCCTGCGCGATGCTCTCACTTTCTTCCAAACTTTGAATAGACTTAGTTTCCAAACAGAATTTACCACAGAATGTACAAGGTGTGAAAGAGTGAAAAAAAACGGATAAAGAGATATAAATTGTATCTAATAACTGAACAGAAAATAAATTATTTGAGTCCCATACAGGCATTTCCAGCTAAAATAATTAAATCTTTCACACACATTTATAGGTGGGAAAGAAGGCACAACATAATTATGAAGATCTCAACACGAAGAACAATGAACCACTCTTTTTTGACACATTTAATTAATAAAAACATATCGCGAAAGTGTATTTAATCAATTGGTAACTTTAGAAAGCTAGCAACCATTTACATTTGCTAAATAATAATTGTGCAAAATTTGTGGAATAAATGTGTTCCATATTTTGACGAACTTTCCATATATTGATATGATTAAAATCAATGAACGCAACTACATTTACGTTTCTGTCAGTTAAATTTTCACACATACAGGGTGATTCAAAATTGGCGTCATTCCTTTTAAGRGGTGATAGAGGCTCCCTTGGGGAGTACCAGAAAAATATTTWAAWTTTTTTTTTCGAAAATTTCTAGAAGATATTAACAGTTAAAAATCGAATTTCAWCTTTGTYATTAAGCATTATTTTGAAAAAATCYCACGTTGGATTGGCAGCCTATTGGAATACTTAAGCATTCAAAAAGAAAAATTACGATCTTCGCCAGGAAGTCAGTGCCATATTTACTGAAGCGTAACATGCTTATCAAGGCTTGTGTATTACTAGACTGGCTTTTTTAGATTTTGGATTTTAGATGGAATGGTGACCTACGCGTAGCCGTCGCTCTGGGTTGTTTCACGCACGTGGATAAAGCTGTACCTCTGTCTCAACTTATGTTAAAAAATCTAGCAGCCATGGAGCACCCCTTTATGTGTGTACTGTACTTCGACGGACGACGAAAATGACTAGGAGAACACGCTGCTAAAATATTTTAACATATTTACGGAACACCCTGTATAAATAACAATTATAAATTAAATCAAACAAAATTTTAGTTTATTCACTGGGGTACCATGGGGAGTATTCACTGGAGTACTATGAATTGTACGATAATGTTTATTGAGATTTCCCTGTGTTGAAAAGCTTTTTTGACAAATACTGCAAACATTGGAAATAGACATAACTAATGATATAACAAGAATGACATAAAATGATATAAAAGTTATTATTTGTACGTTATTACGACAGAACACGTATACTACTTCGACACATTCAAGTCAAAACGTGGTCAGACATAAACCAAACCACTTTATTTCCCACTTTTAACAGTTCTAACCTCACCTTTTTAAGATTTGACACTTGACACAATATCTGTCATAACATTAGATACTGGCACCGTTGTATTCCAAGAGGGCAACAATTAGCCTCTTCTGTCAAAACCAAGTATGTGCATAGGGGCAACATGGCAGTGATACGCGCAAGCGCAATTAGCCAGGACAGGTGCGGACGGTTAAGAAAAAAATATCTGCTGACAGGGGTTGCGAGGGTAGTGCATGCGCAGTTTATGGAATGGCCTACGCGTAGCCGCCGCTCAACCCAGGTAGTTTACTATCAGTCTTTATCTATGGTTTACTGTGTTCGGTTACTGTGGTTAGAAGAGTTGCTGAATTGAATTTGTGCATGTGGGTTGTCGCAAAGAGGCTGATATACGGTATGTTTTAAAGGTTATTAATTGAACTTTATCCACCCTTTCTCTAATTAATCTCTAATCTAATTTAAAATTTTCGAAAAAATGTTCAAATCAAAAGTTGTAGATATTAACCTATACTTTATTTTAAGATAATATCAATTGGTACAGGGTGTAGCAATACACGTGCCATATAAAAGTTTCGTTTTTTTAAATGGAATGTCGTACAACTGTTTTCGACATAATAACCAATATTGATTGAACTTTGGCCACCACGTTTTAACATAAACTTTCAAATTTGGGCAAAAATATTAATACACGGAAGTTCAATTATTTTAAGATAATCAGCCCTGTGCTCTATCATAAAAGAAATTTTAAACGGCCACACGTTGTGGCGACTTAACAGTTCAGGCTAACATTTTTGATAACGAGTTAACGTTTGCGTTTCCGTCCCCGTTATCCATCAAACGTTAAAAAGGAAAAAATATTCGATGCATAAAGTGAGATGCCCTTATACGAATAGTATATTAGTTAGAGAGAGAGTTAACATCAAACCATCGAAGCTTCTAAAACATATGTACTACATGTGCACGTGTTGACCATTTGGCCCACCTACTACTAGAATTGTCTTTGTTTACGATTTGCGTTCACTTTCAATTGCTTTCGTTATTGTTCTTGACCTATCTTCTCAAGCACTTTCAATGGAGCATGTACAGAAGAGGTAAGAAAAACAACCCCCAAACAATTTGAAAATTTGGTAGAGTTTGTGGAGGAAAATAAAGTTTATTTTCAAGACCATTCACTAATTGTTCTAATAAAGCTAACCTTATCAGACCACCAAAAGACCTATCGTTGTTTTAAATTAAAAATAAATTATAGCTAAAACAGAAAACTCCGCTCTGATTAAACACAAGGGTTTTATTTATTCCTCCGAGCATAACTCGAGAGACGCACGTTAAGTTCGATAGCGGCATGTGTTTTAATGCTGTTATTCTGAAGAGCTATTTCTTAATATAACGTTCGTCGATAGCGTGCGCCTGTTCTAATACAACGGTTTTACTGGTACAACACACCGTTGGAGCCACATAACGTGTTTGACGGATAACATGTACGTTAAAGTTAACGTGAGTGATTATAGCACAGGGCTGATTATCAGTTGATACTAATAAGTGTCAGACTAAATTTACATTTTTGTAAAATGGAATGTCGTACTTTTTATTACATAGTAGCACTATTCACAAAATTGTAAGCCCATTGCACGCAGATATCCTATATTGGTTTTTAATTTTTTGAGTTAACCAATATTAATTGAACTTTGCCTACCCCGATTTGACATCTAATTTGATATTTAATATTTAGAGATTTTTGATACTGAGAGACAAATCTTAAAGACGAAATTTGCAGATATTATTAGATGATATTTTTTAAATGAAATACTCATGTTTTGCCCAGATAGCATTTGGCATTCGAAGAATATCCCAGAATGTTAAAAAAATATTCAGAACATTACGGGGATAGCCTGGGAATTTACCTGAGTGAACATTCCTGAAATGAATGTTCGTAGAATAAATTTATGTTTCATTGATCAAAGTTCATAAAAATTATATGCTAAGTACGTACATATTGTGTATATATGCAGATGATTATTCCCATTCAAAAGAAATGTTCGGGTAATATACATATTTAAATGTATATCCAGGGGATGTTTTTATAGAATATACTATGGATAATTGCAAATTTGTCAAAACTGCAAACATGGTGATTCAAATATGAAATAATTAATTGTGCTAATATTTCAAGATAAATTAATATAAACTTGTTTGAAACGGGACAACCGACAACAAA